GGTAATTACCCCTACAGGTGCACAGGTAATTACCCACTACAGGTGCACAGGTAATTACCCACTACAGGTGCACAGGTAATTACCGAGTATAGGTACACACGCAATAATGCACTACAGGTACACACGCAATAATGCACTACAGGTATGCACACAGTCATTGAGTACAGGGTTGCAGGCAATTACCAATTACAGGTACACTTGTAATTACCCAGTACAGATATGCACACAATTGTGCAATTCAGGCACTCATTAGTACTGCTATGCTGTCTACAGCTAATGTTATTTCTCAGATCTTATATTCTATTCTACGGTCTATGATATTATGATTTTTCGTGTGATATTTTATAACATTCTATGATCTCTTGCGTTTCCACCGCAGGACTGGGATTTTCCTCATTTTGAGAGCTCCAACTTAGACATCAAGCTTCCTGGCCTCAACGTGGCAAGCATCAAGTTCAGAGTGCCAGCTTGCGTGCGAAACAAGTTCTGGACTGTACACATATCCGGTAGATTTCGAGAAAGTGATACAGACGCATATGGAGAGAGGGAGGAAAAAAATCGAAAGAGATAGTGACAGCGTGAAAGAGAGAGAGTGAGGCAGACATACAGACAAGCATACATACATGCATATGTACATACATACATACGTACAGACAGACAGACAGGCAAGCAGGCAGGCAGGCAGGCAGACAGACAGACAGCAGACAGACGGCAGTGCAACAGAGATGCAATAATGAGCATTTAAGTGATTTATCTGTTAATAAATTTATAGTTGGCAGTATGTAAAATTATAGTTACCTAGCTCTGGCATCACACGTTCAGCAAATCCTGGAACTTCAGTGTAAATTCTGAATATTTGAAAAAAAAAAAAAATAGCATATATGTTGCAAGAAAGTGGTTCAGCTATGACATACTCACAGTGTGTTGTTGCATGTTGCAGGGAAATGGTTCAACTATGGTGTGATCATACTTGTGATGTGTCTGGATTTGAACATGTGGATCAATCAGGTGATCTATGCACCACACAAGTACGGGCAGTACACGGGACCACAGCATGAGATCTACACGGCTACAGACGAGGTACAAATTCTAGAACATA